AAGTTAAGGGGTAATCAGGGTTCAAAGGCCAGGGTCTAAGCTAACAAAGATACAAGAAGCAACAAAAAAATAGTGTTTTCCCCTTTAACAGAGCTTTAAGACTCCACAGGCTGTGTCCTCTGTTCCTCTCTAGTTTGGGATAAACAAAGAACAGAACAGCGATATTGAGCCTTGGATTGACTGTGGAAGCTGGACAGCAAAGCAGCAGGGGGCCTCTGAATAGGAACTTCCTGTTTAGGTTGCGTCTTGCATCTCAAGTCAGTGTGACTCTGCCACTGGCTGGTTACAGCCTTTACTCACTGGGGTCATCAACTGTCCCAGATAGATGATCGATTATAAGTAAGTAATTTTCTGTCAAACAAAATTGGGCATCTGCTCTGTTTTCAAACGGCACAAGCCAATATTTGTTCTTGTCTTCTTAGAAAGTTTGTGTGCCGTCTGCTTGGTGTACAGATTTCCTCGGCAGTACTCAGGGAGTAAACCCCTCCTTCCCTGAGGCAGGGTTGAGTCGGCCAACCAAAGGGATTACCATGGTGTGTTACTGTCTGCCATGGCCCAGACGCAGTCTAACCAGGATTGGGGCCTCTTTCGCAGTTTTCACAGCTCTCTAGCGTCTGGAGGTCATCTGGTAGGAGGAAAAATTGTCCAGTGTTTCTGCTGGGGTAGTTAATCTACAGGTTTGGCAACTGATCGGGCTGTTCAGTACTGGCACCGGGCTGCGTAACACATGGCAGCCTGCTGCCTGTGAGGGCTGCATAAGAATGATAGTTGAGTGGTCCAAATCAAGCCAAAACGTACAACAGATTTCGCTGCACTTATCTCAAATAGACTCATGATGAGGGATGAAGTTAGAAGTCAGGAAGGTTGATCTCAGAGTGTCTCTCAGAAGTGATGTTATTCAGAGAGACCAGTGTGAAGGACTCTAAGGACAGGTTTTACAAGCGGGTTACAAGCAGTGAAAGAGACAAGCTGTAAAACCATGTAGAAAATAATGTGCATATTGTATAAACAGGCAGCAGGCAACACAGTGAGTGCACCTTATCACCAGAACTCTGCCTCAATGAGGATCTCATCAAAAAGATGTAATTTTACAGATCTCTTTTAAAGTTTGTCCATCAATTTAACAATGTAAACCTCTTTTAAAGATAAAGATTGACCTCATCAGGGCTTGTCCTCGCAAAATTGACCCATCTCGAGCCAATCTAGCACTCTGAGGCTGAATACTGCTTAGCTGTGTCCCCGCACATCATTAGCCCTCTCCTCACTCCATTCACTCTGACTCAGAGCAGAGAAAATGACTGAGTGATATAACTGAGGCTCCAAAGTCTGCGGCTCTGTCACTGCTCTGTGCCCTGTGTGCATGTGCTATAAAGCCACTTCAGAGTGAGCAGTAGGCTACGGTGCTGATCTTGCACATTTGACCACCTCCACATGACCCCGTGACTACCTGCTTGAATTTGTGTTGCTGCACTACTCAAGCAAAAGAAAGGACAGCCATTTTATAAATTACATTTTAGTCAGCGTAAACATCAAATTGTTTCTGAACAAAGAGCGACGCTGTGTTGATTTTGTCAAAATTAGCCGTACAACAACCCTGCCTCGGACAAAAAAATTTAATCAACCGCAATTTTGTCTTGAGCCTTCCATTATTTTCTGAATGAGTCTGTCTTTGATCTTTTGTCAGGGCACTACTGTGTGGTTTAAGGGCTTTCCTTCTGTTTAATGGAGGAAGATGAGCCACATCTTTGATATAAGCGAATCACATCTTACAATATGATTAGTGGGATGCTAATAGTAAAAGATCCATATGGTAGACCTTCTTAGCAATTCTCAATCTCTGGTAATTCTCTATTCTTACCACCACTCTTAAAACTAATACTGGAAATTGTATTTACAGAAGCTTCACACTGTTCAAATCATCATATACTAACCTCTTGTCTCATAAAACAGAAGAATATAACTAAGATCACGTGTGATGTATTTCACTTGGTTCATGGGCAATGTATTTTTCTCTCTTAATAGGCATCCCCATTGCAACAAAGGTGCTTCACGCTAGGTAAAAGGGCCATTTACTCTGCTTCTGTCACAACTGCATACTGTTGCTTGGCAACAATCACACAACCATTTCATCAAGAGTCAAATACTATTCTTTATTCTGAGTATTAATCACTGTTTCCTCCAGAGGAACCACGTTCACGGAGATACAGATTGTAAAATTGGTAGTACAGTTAGTACTGAATGTGCACAGTGTGTATGACTCTACTGTATTGTACAGGTCTCTATTGAAAGCTTTGCAAACATTTAAAAAGAAAACATAAAACCCTATTAGTATTAACCATTTTATGAAACAGATCTAACTATTGAAATAACACTAATTCAAATATTTAATGAGGGAACTGATTAACTATTTCCCAATTCACTCTGAATTTGTCAGACTAACTTTGGAAACATTTAACCAAAACCAAAGTATGCTTCAGAGGTTGCTTTCTACATTGCCTAAGAAGGATAAATTATGCTTCATTTACACTGCTAATTCAACATAAGCCAAGATTAGTAGAAGCATATTTTAAAAAAAAGGTGCAATTGACATAAAGAGAAAGTTTCCAGCAAGACTGAAAATTAGGACCTTTGTGTTTATAGCAGAGGAATAACAGAGGAACTATGCAACAATCATCTTTCTGCACAATAATGTGTCACAAAACCAACATATGAAACTTATGATAAACCATTTTCTCATTACCAAACATAGGGAAGATAATTGAAAAATTCCAAGTGGAAGGGGAATATTAAAGAGATATTTCTGTGTATATTCCACAACTGGGACTAATTCAGAAGCAGAAGTGCCTGGAGGGCCAGTCTGTCTCTAACAAAATTGGTTTACCAAACCAGAATGTACGAGTGCGCAGAGTGAGGCCAATAGCTGCCTGCTGCCTCTATGGAAATCAACAGCAGAGGTCTCCCAGCTGAAACTGAATCTTTACTGTGTAGCAAGATATGCTCAGTCTTAAGGCTACCCGTAAGGTCTTAGTGCCTTCAGGCAGGCTTAGAAAATTAGCCCTCTGTTGTTACCAACAGTGAGATTTTAACTGTTGTTAATGAAATTGGACTGTGTTTCCCAGTGGCTGTGTGTTTAAGCATTTGCCACATGGATAGATGAAAGCTGTTGCACCAATAAAAATACCCCACCACCCTCTATTTGAACAATTGGGAATAATAAATTTAAGAGTGAGGTGGGCCTCCACTTTTTAGTGTAAATTTAATCAACGACTGAGGCTCTGACGCTTTCAGGTGTCGCGTTTGATAAATACTTCCAATAAGCTGGTGTCTTAAGTGCTGTCAGAGCAGCCTGAAACATGACTAAAGTTCTTTGCATACCAAGTCACATTTTATCTTCTAGTATTTCAAAGTAGCACTCATGCCTCTGATTTAATCAACAGTTGTATTTAAATTAAAGAATATTACACTTTAAACACGAACAAGCCATACAGTCATGTAAAAAAGAAATATATATACACATAAATACATGTTATTCTTAGACATCACGATCTATAGCTTGGCAAAGCATCATTATTTATTTAAGGACCTGCATTTTTACTCCTTGACACACTTATTATTACATAGTAAAGCAAGCGCACACACACACACACCCACACACAACACAGCACAACCACTCACTCATCTCTCACACTCATGTCAAGGTTGATCTGAGTCACAAGTCCCACGTTCATCCCAATTAGCACTTTGATTTGGGAGTTGTTAGGTGGTGATATTGGCAGCTTTGGAAGGATGCACCCATCACTCTCCTCTCTCTTTCACTCTTTCAATTCCTCTCTTTCGTTCCATGTTGGCTTTTTTTTTTTTTTTTACATACCTCCTTTTCTACACATTTTCTTGTTGGGTTTCCTGGCACATTCCTTGGATATTCTTTTGACTGTAAAATGAATGGAAAAACTACAAAATAACAGCGAGATCTGGAAAAGATCGCATGTGACATGCAACAACTCATACTGAGTCAGACACCCTTCTTCACCCTCTTTCCCTTCGCCTCCCACCCTCCCAGTCATCATCAACAACAAGAACAACAGAGGACCTGTTGAGAAAGTAACTGGGGTGTTGCTGCAGAAATATTCCAAAATGGTGGAATGAATTTACTGCATCGTGGGACACAGGAAGCCCATATTCACATGCACTTCTATTTAAGACCCATTACAACCACACAGAAGGCAGAGAGGCTAAATTTCCAAAGTTTTGCAATTCACATTGTAATCAGATAAGTGAGAGTGTTTTTCGACATTGCCCATTTGATTCTCAGAGCACTTAACATTTCAAGCCCATTTTCCTGTGTGGGTCTCCTTCAAGTGGTAAAATAATGGCAGCCATTTAAAAGAGTCAACATCCAGAAATCTAAAACTTGGTGAAGCCCAATCTATGTTTGCCTTTTGCACAAAACGTGCTCTAGCTTTTAGCTTTATGCAAGGACAAACTGGATGAAGCAAGGAGAGTAAAGGGTCTTACATAGGTCAGGCTGATGCCACAGGCCTCTCGTGTACCAGACAGAATATTTCACCAACCCTACAGTAGTAGATCATTCACTTATGAGGCAGGCTACTAATCACTAATAGCTTATATCCCCAGAACAGTCAAGACAGTGAGGGTAGGAAGGTGCACCAAGTATTTCCAATCTGCTCCTTGTATGATTAGATTTCTTTTTTTCTTTTTTTATTCAGTCATATTAATAAGTCATTTAGTCATCAAAAGAGGAACCTCTAACAGTGGCATGGAAGGGGAGAGTTGATGAAAAGACTAAATGAAAGATCAAGTCAAAATGGGAGGTTGAGATGATGGACACGGACACAGCATGCGCCAGACAACAGGTCATGCTCCGCGCAAAATACAGAGGTGACACAAAAGTTTAGAGGAAAAGACAGAGCAAGAAGGAAGGTAGAGACAGAATAGAGGAGGAGAGGTTTGGTTTTACCCTGTTTACTCGACACACTCACCATCCTCAGTTGGAACATAGATGTTTAGATAAAGACAATCCTCATGTTGATCCTGTATGTATGTAGTAACTATATCCAGGTTGAAGGTGAACCATATTGGCATCATGATCTCTGGCACAGCGTTGTGTATATTTTGGGGGCAGACAGGAGCAAAGTGAGTGGCATTCTTGATCCCTGACCAAGACGAAGGAGGCTCCGGCGGCATGAAGCGTTTTTCTCCCACCGGGGAGGCAGCGTACGGAACCCCCAGATACTGGTCCACCGGCCCCAGAATCTCACTAGGCAGGGGCACCCTCACTCCTCGGAGTTTCCCATACTGTGTATTCACAGTAGGGTGGTAGTTCTGACCTCTCACGGCCGCAAAGCACCAACAAAAACTTAATACCCACAAGGACACGCTGAAATTGGTGCAACTGTAGGCACCATGCCAGTTCTGCGAGGGGAGACGACTTCTCCTTGGATAAAACCACATGGTCCTTGTGAGCGAGTGCAACTGCAAGTGACCAACATACAAGCCGGGGCACCCCCACAGCAAACACACAGGCTTCCTGCTCAGCCCTGCAGTCCAACCACCTGAGGGACAGTCATCAGCTGTGATACTGAAGCCTGTCGGCTTACAGACGAGGAGAAACAGTCACAGTTACACAGTTATCCTGCTCTCTTTGCAGTGAGGTCCTTATTCACTGTCCTCTCTCCGCTCGTCTGATCTTCTATCCCGTGCTGCAAGAGAAGAAGACAGGAAAATTAATGATATTTCCCTGACAACCCACCAGTTTGCTCCCATTTTTAGTCAGTCATTTTTATTGACTTGTGGAGCCCCTTTCTGTCATGACATAAAACAGCTCACATAAACATGACAGAGCTCTTAGTGCCATCATCAATCCACATAATCAAGAACCTGCCTATGACTTGAATATTGCAATTAAATGTTGGGCAACTTGTCAAGATATGCCTAATAATGCTAATAGGACAAGTGAAGTGTGAAAGGCATCAACTCTTGGTATGTAATTATTCTCTACTTCAAAGGCCAACATTTACAGTAATAGTTATAAGATAGATTAATTTTTACATCCCTCAAAAAAAAAGTGAGGTGCTCATATTTACACTAAAATAGTTTCTGTATGCTGTCATCATTCCTCCTGTTCATACTGGCAATTAAGAGATCCCTTCCTAATATGCTTCAAATGTAAGTGATTGGGCACAAAATCCACAGCCTTCGTTCTGTGAAAAAAGTTATTCAAAAGTTTTCTGCAGTCTGATATAGATACATCAAGTGGGTATCTTCCAAAGTCACTGCCTTTTAGTAGGGATGTAATGATACAATTACGTCTCACGATTTAATACAATTGACGATATTTGGGTCACAATATAATTTTCTCACAATGTTTTATTTTAAAAAAGAGACTGAATTGAAATTATGACTGAAAAATATATTTTTCTCAGTCAAAAACTGAAAAAAAATCTTATTTTTTTTAATCATATTATAAAATCTTCTTTAACGTATATATACGTTTCTGACGTATATATATTATATACGTATACAATTTACAAATGTTTGCTTTTGTGAAGTGCAACTTATGTCTTTGCACCTATATACCATTTTTTTCACCAATTTCGATCTTTGTATTGCGATTTTACCCTCTCATGATGTATCTTTACATATATACTTTTTAGTTCCCTCTTAATGCCAGTATGAACACGAGGAATTATTACATGAAGTAAAACCTGTAATGCACATATGGACACCTGACTTCTGTATGAAGGCAGACTTGAAAAATGGTGAACCTATTATTTAAGGAATAGCCATATTTACAGGAGAAGCACTGTTAAAACCCAATAGCAACAGTCATACACAAGAAGATAATAATATGATAAAACACGTTTAATGTCATGCAGCATTTTCCCTAGATCTCCCTTTGGTATAGATACGAACAAGGTACAATTTAAATTTCATCTCCCTTGTTTGCTCTTACAAGAAATCATTTTTTGGGATGAACAGAAAAAGAGCCAGAGGAGGATGTACTGTAGCTACAGGCAGCATGGGTGCCTCCAGTGACAGCACTGTAAATGCTAATCTACAGTCCCAGGGTAAACCACTGGTACCGGTGACAACACCTTCCCACACTGCCTGATCAATTTTCAATTTCTGTGGCTTAGGGTCCCCCTCAGCCTTGTGTGCCTACTGCAGTGTTCGCTCTAATAACAATGGAGAAGAAAAGCCAGCATTTAGAGGAGGATATTGCATTCCAAAATGACTGTGTAAATGATTTATAATGTATCAGCAGCCGTTGGAGGGCCACTAACCACTGAGAGAAAGCAATCCTGACATTCCTAGAGGTGCTGTTATCGCTAGGCAGCTATTCCCATTTTCTGTAGCTGTGGATCAGCGCAAAGTGTGCCAGTCCAAGATGCACATGTAAACCCTCACTTCATATCAAAAACACGTACATACAGAACATTTTGTACATACTGCAGATGAGTCCAGCTTCACTTATACTTCTGTAAATGAAATTACAGGTGTGTGGTGGACAATTCTGCTCAGACACTCCAGCATACCGAACACCTGCTAAGTGATAATACATGAAAAGCCATCCATATCCAATCTGGGGACTAAAAGGCATGCATTGCTGAAGGGGCAAGGGCTGGCAAAGGCTTTAAAATGCTAGAAAAGTCACACTGACACAGTCCCTGCCCTGCTCACTATGGTTCACTGTCGCGTTCCATTTCTATCAATAAAAATTTTGTTTATTTTCAGTATATCAGTGACTAAATATTTGAAACACCTTTCAGTGTAATACAATACAATTCAGCAGAAACATAAAATATAGCTCACAAAATGATCAGGTTGTATCGTTATATAGTTTCAACCAAAACTGAATGTTATGGAGTTGTGAAGTGGGAGGAGCTATTTAAAGTATCCCTCATACAGTGTTCCATGGCTCCCAGTTGGAGCTCCTATTCTGGACTACTGTAGAAACATGGTGGTTTAACATACAAGTCTTATTTTCAGGTATACACTAATGTACATGTACTTAATATTATATCCAATTCCTGCATTATTATCAATTGTAGTTCAATTCAGCAACTATGGTGCCACATTTTGTTCTCAACTGAAGCGACAAAACATTTCAAATTCCTTGTTGCTTTGATTTGTGCCTCTGACTTGCCTCTTCTCTATGACCACTGTAGCCAAGGCTCTTTTATATTGGTGTTGTAGTATTTAGACCCCTTCACCATGCCAAAATGACGTGAAATCAGGATTTCTCCTGTCAAAGTCGAAGGAATTAAAACTGGTGATGGTCCTGTGTCCTCCTCCTGAGTCCTGCGTTTCTACTTTCAGTAACACTGAACAAAAAATTGAAATGGGAATACAGAACAAGGAAAAACATGTTGACAACTCTATAACTTTCATGAACATATGATTTATTACAGAGCTGTTCTACTGGAGTGCATTAGTTTTAACTAGGTGTACCTATTAAACTGGCAACTGAGTTTTAAAGTACCATAAAAACTAAAAAAGGCACCTGATGACCCATGACTACATTTCTGATCCCTTTCCAAAAACTGGAACAACTCAAGTTTAAATTGATCACATTTATGATCCATTATGTGTCCGGTGGGTAAAGAGTTTCACATATTGATCCCCTGAATGGAGAAAGATGTCAGCCCAAAGGAGGTTTTCAAAAAGGCAACTTTCCCCGTAGACACAGATGCATTGATACAAGATTTTCAATTTAAAACTTAACTGAAGCCATTTCTGTTTAGATCTGCACACACAGCAGCAGAATAAGTGTGATAACACTAATTCTAGTCGAGATAAAATACATCCGGTCAAACTTTTTAATCAGGACATAGCAAGGACATAGGACAGTGTGATGGAGTGTGTGTGTTTAGAGGACACACGGCACAGAGGACTTCATCAGTCTACCCTCCAACAGCATCTCAGAGGTCCTCTCGGCTTTGATCTCTCTACCTGCTGAAGCACTGCCAAGGGAGGAACAGAGAGGGAGAGAGAGATTGCATGAGTTCTCCCTCATCATCCCAGAAATATTGATCGTCTCATCACCGTGGCCTTGCAGCCCATAATAAATACAACTGGGGTGATGGAGGCGGGGGGAGGTGAGGTAGAGGAGGAGACGGGGTGCTGTGCTGAGTCTAAAGGAGGTTATTAGCCCTTAATGCAAGACGGCACTTCACCAAGTACATGCCGTTAAACACTCTCCTCCCCAATTCTCCGGTCCCTGATTAATAGGACATGTTAAATTCTGTCAGTCCAATCCCTATTCATCAATATTCAAAAGCACCCCAATGGTACAACACGTGAGTTGTCCCCATACATATCCCAAATTTAGAAGAAAAATACATAGACTATATTCCTCTTTATTTTGGTCCGAGTCCAGTCGGGTACACTTACTGTAGAAGACCCTTTGTTCTCCTACAGCGGAGAGATCTCTGCATTGCAATAAAAGTCTGAGCACAGAGCCAAATGTACTCCTACGCCCGACATCCCTTAGAGAGAGGCTGAATGGACTCTGATAAAAAAGGAACCAATAAGAGTTCTGAGTAGATGGAGCTTCTGACTCTCCCCACTCTGTTATTATAGTAGCTAGTCTACAACAAAGGCATTCACAAAGCTGCATTAGTCCTCTGGAACATCTAACTTCAAATGAAGTGAGCCGTCCTGACCTGAGAGAGTGTAATCACTGATTACAAATGCTTCTGGTGCTGTTACATTATAACTAAGGCTGAATATGCCATTATAGAAACAATAAGAGACAGGCAACAAGACAGGAACCAGAAGACAGAAACCTATGTACCCGGACGGTTACCTCAGCTGAACTCATTAAAATGTGAGAGGCAACGGCAAAAACCTAATTTAGCGTCTTCACCTTCCCAATCTACATCAGTGCAAAGGCTCCATTTTGAGACAAGCTCCGCTTATGATAGGTTTGCTCTCTGGCTTCTGTGTGTTAATAATGTGGAAAATATATCTGTAAATTGTCTGCTCACACGTGTTTATTTCAAATAGGCAAACATGGATTTCAACACAGCAAAATCAATAATGAATGTACACACATACCACCAGTCTACTCTCGCATGCATAGGCTTTATATAAGCTCCTGGGCTTCACGAATAACAGCACGCCATATTAAATCAAGGAGATTGGCATGTTTCAGAAACAACATTCATGAAATGTCAAAACCAAACTGCGGCTTCATAAGGCTCCTGCTGGGAACTAGCGCCACTATAACAGTGAGGGATGAGGGCCCACTCTTCCTTTCCTTTGCTTTTTTCGTCAGACACAGAGCCTGTGCAGTCATTATTACTTAGGAGATTTGGCATTAAATCAAAGACAAAGACGCAGCACATTCTGACTGCTAATCACGACGGTGATGCTGACATATTTTTTTTAAAGAAGTAAAAGGGAGATGGTGAGGAATGACAGCACTGCTGCTGTGGCCGCCTGCTTAGCTGCGCGTCTCCACCCCTTCTGCTGGCTGCTGGATAAATGCTGCTGTGAGTATCATTACCAGCCAAACGGCCAAGGAAACATGGAGAGGTGAGCTTGGCAGGCCAAATAAAGACAGATTCCAGGTGAGTCTGTGTTGAGATGAATTCTGTGGCTGCACAGCAAATAAATAATGGCCATTCTGTTAACTGCTGACGGTGCTTGAAACAACTGTTTGTTCTTCGTGACTAAAATGATAGGGACAGATTTG